TATTCCTTTGCCATCTGCAATCATAAGATCATGTTTGTCTAATGGCAGATTGAAACAACATCCTCAGGGACAACAGATCAAAAATCTAGTGAGCTCATCTTTTTGAAGTATCAAAAAGAAGCTATCAAAAACTTTCCAAAACAGGAGTTACAACACTTCATCTTGAGAAGAAGAGATGTTAAAAACAAAAGAAGAGCCTCAGGCACGTTTCCATTAATCACAACTTTATCTTGTGTTCATAAATCTCCTCTGTATGGGCTGGGCCAGCATCTACATGCCTCATAAGGAACACATGGGATTGTGTGATATAACACATCATGTAAAAATATGTTTTCTTATTGTTCTAAGTGAAAATGCATCAACATGTCCTCTACAGGGAACAACTGTAAATATGGCATTTTTCTGACATGTTAATATAATGGGGAAAAATATGCCATTTTTACACAGGCAACATTTTATGTTTTTCCCCATTATGTTAAAATTAAACAAATAAACAGTAATTGTGTACTAAAATGTGCAGCCCTGTGTTCTCTGTAGAGGATGTGTTAACATTATGTTCACTTACATAATCAACAAAACATGTCATTTGACCAGGGCTGCACAAACTTTTGCATACAGCTGTACGTGGCTTGAGAAATTGATCCAGGATGCATGTGTGGATATCTTCACTAGCTTGTCAGTGTCACACTGGTGAAGTATTTATTCAGCTGTTAGATGGGCCTTTCACTTGAAAGTGTCGTAGGCTGGTGTTTAATTGTGGAAGTACTGAATTATGCAAGCTAATATTGTGCTAGGGCCTCTATTATTGTGCTGGTCCTGTGAATGTAGTGGAAAATGTAAACTAATGTTGTGTGATGGCCTCTGTGCCACACGACTGCTGTCTCTGTCAGGCAAATCACATTGTAAGGTTCTACTAATTAAATTAGCAATGAATATAATTTAGAATTTAGCAGTAATCTGCTACTGCTGACATGGCTGGCCACATGGCTGGTCATAACATCAAAATAGGAAGTCGCAGGTGTGTCGTGGAGTATGTAGGAAGGAAAGACATGTCCTCAGCTGGCGACAGCTTGTGGCCTTGTTTATCATCACCATATAACAAGTCAAACTTGGTTCTGCAGGGCAATAGCACGCAACAGCATTCACTGTAATTTGTCTGAAATGGGAAGCAAAACACAGCCACTTCTAGTCTAAACAAAAGTAGCCTAAAATCCAACAGAGGACTTGTCCTGTTTAACACTTAACAAAAGAAAGATAAGGAACCATCATTTGTTTTAGTACATATGTATAAATATAGCTGTACTGGCATACAGTTATTTACAGTTATAATTTAATAGAAACTGGCATACAAATTTTCTACAACAATCTGAACTTCTGGGAACAAAGTAAGCTGATAACAACAACAATGTAGTATCGCTATTACCAAGTTCAGCTCTGAAAGGGTAAATTCTATTCTGTGGGAGTCATAAGGGCTGAAAGATTTATTGTTTCACATCAAAATTCACAATTTCGCAACAGCTGCAATTGTAATTATAGCCTATTTTCAATTATGTTGATTTAATAAGTCTTAAGTTGTGAAATTTAACCCAATAATGCCAAGCTGTAAATGAGTAACGCCAATCAGAAGCAAGCAAACACCCATGTGCTGTGTACATGACAACACAACCACAACAAAGTGGCAGTTTGGCATGCTACATTCAGTGTTCAAGCCACAGCCAGAAAAAGTAGATATACTGGTCTTCTTGGCCAACACACAATTTGCACCTTAATTTAAAGAAAATAATTGCACTTTAAATCACAGTCATAAAATTGGTCAGATTAGATACCCTAAATCATTCAGCCCTAGTTAAAATGTAAACAAAGTCATTCAGAGTGGTTTGAAACGCGTTCTAGACAAACTTACCAAATCAGAATTGTTCACAGTGGTGGTGGTAGGATCCAGACGCCTGAAATGCCTACTAAAAACCTTTAAAACCTCCACCACATGAAGTTATTAAAATAGTTACAATTATGCTGCTTGATGCCTGTGACACTGTTCACAACAGTTTTAAGATAGCGTTTAGGCCTAAAATATGTCTTTTTAGTATTAATGACAGCGAGGCACATGCTGGGCACTGTAAAGAAAACATTTTTTTTCAGATATTGTTTTGGATATTACATTTCACATCAAAACTCTGAATGACTTTGTTGTTCTTAATGATTGAACTATGCAGAAATTTTGAAAATTGGTGGAATTCTTCTTTAACACAGGCAATTTTATTATTATGTATGAATAATACATAGTTTTACACTGTATATTATATTGTGCAAATCTGTACATATTCACCAGCACTTCCTAGTTGACAGCATCTCTTCTTTAGTGATTTGTCTGTAATCTGGGCACACATGGTCAAATCTGATATGAAAGCTAAGCTTTTAAATCTAACAGCATGCCATCTGTAAAAATGATGATAACTTCTCAACACAGATCATATCTTCTGTGGAGATTGAATGCTTAATTCTAGGATAACTATAATACACATGTACAAATATAACAGTTAGAACATATATCATAAATCTGAGGTAGTGCTAGGGATTGAATGGGAAATTATTTTGTAACTTATATTTTAAGAAAATTTGTGCCACTAAGCACATTTTTTTCACAGACTCTAGGCTGGGATGGGGGTCTTAAACCACACAGCTGATTCTTCTAGTCTTGATAAACCAACACTGATGTCAGAACTCAGTACAGTTTCCCTCTGGAACAGACTGAACTGATAAAAAAATTGAAACCGAGAAAATTGACTGAAAAAAGTAAAATTCTTCCCGACAGTTCTAGGTCCTCAATTTCAGGTTGTGAAGAGCTCCAGTACTATACTGCTTAGTGTTTTTGACACCTCAACCTGATAGTTTACTGATAACTTGATGTACTGTGTGCACTGGAGGCGGTGCAGTCCTGTAGCCTGACAGAACCCTCAGTTGGAAATATTATTTGAAATATTACTTCAATTTAAACTCATTCTCCCTGCTTTCTACAGATGCTTGGAAACTGACGTTCCTTCAGTAATACGAAAAGCACCATATGAGCATTTGGTACAGGAAACAGGCATTAAGAATACATTCTCATCACAGGGGAATTTCACTCATTTTTCAAAATGTCGGCATAATTAAATCATTTAGACACAAAATCATTCAGGACGGTTTGCAGTAAAATGTGTTGCTTTAGAGAAACTTACCAAATCAAAGTGTTCACAGTGATGCTGACGGGAACCCGGCGTCTAAAGATCTCCTTCAAAATGACCTCCAATACCTCAAAGAAAGCTATTACATGACCTGAATATGTTGCCTGATACCTGAGACATTAGGCCAAAACCTAATTTTAAATATGCTCATGGCAAAGAGGTACATGTAGGGTGTTGTAAGGCAAAATAGGGCCCACAGAAAACAACTATTTTTTCCATTATTAACATTACATATAAAAGACACATGTAGGTTCACTGGTGGTTTTAGACAGCAAATAAAATGGCTATGCTTGTATTAGAGACATTGTGACCCCCACCACCACTATAAAGATACCTGAGTCAGTAAGCTTCCCTACAATCCACCATTTAATCTTAAAACAATGTGAACGATTTTGTTGAAATGACAACCACTAAATTATAAAGAAATTTTCAAAATTGGCAGCATTCCTCTTTAAGCTTCTCTTTGAGCTGCTGAGTTACCTTGGATTAACTGGAGAACAGCAGTGCTTACAAACTGCTCTCCGGGTCATTTCTAATGGCACTCACAAAGGGTCGAAAGCACCGCCGTCTGGTTTCATGTCAGATGCTCAAACAAGTGAGCGTCCACCATGCTGGTACAGGCCAAATGAGTCAGTGTAATGCCCTATTTTTCTAGGTTAAATGAATGCATTGAGCTAAATAAATAAAAAAAACTGCATTAGCCATGATAATATGCATCGAAAATAATCATATGCCTCAAAACATACTAGCATGCTAGCTGACCTAAAGAGATCCATGAAGAAAATAGTTTCTTTAGTACAGTTGATTTTATCTACACCTACAGGTCACAGCATGACCTTGTTAACAGCATGAACTTGCTTTGCATAAAAGGACTTTCCAAAGGCACTTGGAATTCGTACAGATGAAAATTAGGTGATGGTGCCAGTTTTATGTGCAGCATCCATGTAAAGGTGGATCCCAGCACAAACACAAACGCTTCATCGTTACTGTATTGTTCTTTTGCTTTTACAAAATAACTAAAAAATTACATTTAAAAAATAAATGCTGAAGGGAGTCTGTAAAGTCTAAAATGATCAGGCCTCTAGTCACAAAAGCTTGGTAGGCCTATACAATCAATGTTACATCACCAGTGCTGCTTTCTGTTGTACTACATGTGGACAAAATGGTTTAGGCAAGGCAATGCCTATTTTGTATCGTTTACAAAATGTACATAAGTAACCCCCCAAACTCTGATCATGTTTTCTTGCATTTTAGGCAGCTTAGCAGGCATCACTCAAGTCACCCAGCTCTGTGTGACTGATCTAATGCAGATCTTTTAAGAGGCTCTCGAACTTTTCACCATGACCACCTGTTAGTGTGGCTACTCAGCTGATAAGGAAAGGATTAGACCCACAAGTTCTTAAGATGAAATTCGGCCCACAGATAGCAAATGAAGAGGTATATGGACAAAAATCAATGTGCGAAAGCACACGTCCACGGTATGTACTGCACACGTAACAGCAACATTACATGCAGTGATGTTTCTCCAGGCATCTGAGAAAGTCTGACAGGATATTATCTTACACTGAAACGCCTAAACAGATGGAGAATGGAATAAACGGAGCTGCTACTAAATTGTGTTATACAGAGTAAGAAAAGTACTGTTTTATTCATTCATTTGAAATAAGCAGCCACAAGCAGCAGCAGCAGCTTTTCGAAAACTAAGTGTAGTGTTTTCGCGGACTCGCTGTTCTTTATCGTGTCAATGAGACTGGCGCTGTTTTGAGTTTCTCCACTTACTCTCAGTGATGTTCTGCAGGCCGAGCACGTCCTCGGGCCTTATGGTTGGGTTTTGGAGCAGCTCCTCCTCTGTTGTACACGGGAGCCCCGCGTCGTTCCCTGCCTTCACCCTCATCTCCGAAAGCGCCTTGAGGGGACGGGCTGAGCAGCTGTCTCTTCTCCTGCAGCCGTTGGGTTTGTTTGCCCCACCCCGCCTTTCTGACTCGCCACGCCCTCTGAGCTACGATTGGTTAGTAGTCTCCCACTTTCTGCGTTGAGATTGGCTAATAATTCATATTTACAAGCAGTCCGCCGTTGGCTACTACTAGCCAATCCTAAAGCAGGAGAGGCGGGGCTTGTCTGAATACGGGTGGGTAAAAACAACAACAAACCAAAACATTTGCTGTACCTGTGTGTAAACAAAGAGAGAGCAACATGAGATCATCTTTATCCAACTTCAAAACAGTCATTTCTTGGCACACATTTATTTAAAGTATTATAGGAATCATGTAATTAAATTAAATAATGTATTGTAGCGTTGGGGGTAGATAGAAGCAGCGTAGACGACTCTGAGTTCGTCCCATATCGCGGCTTTGTTTAGAATTGACTCAGCAGAGAGAGTACAGGAGAGGAAAATAGCACTTATTTCCGGAGAGAGGAAATCTGCTCTTCACGGTTCTAGCACGGTTTTGAATCGGGGGGCAGTATTACAGACACATCCAAGCTGTTTACTCCCCATGACAACTTAACTTAGGAATAAATTTAGGACAGTAGCTATAACAGAACAACAGTTCTTATGGTCATAATCTTATCCTACCTCCAGATAAGTAAACTGGGGCCGTATTTAAAAAAAAAAGTCTGAAATCTGATTTTATCTGCTTTATCACCATGACAACTTCATTTAGGACTAAATTTAGGACAGTATCTGTTACAGAACAACAGTTCTTAAGTTTATAATCTTAGCCTAGCCCCAAATAAGAAAACAATATTACAGAAACATCCTAACTAGATAAAATTCCTAAATTCTGTCCTAACTTTAGGACAACCCCAGAGGTGTCTTAACATGTTAACATGTTTTAACCGTCTTTAGTTCACTACAACTAGCATAATGACGCTGCATTTATCTACATCAAAATCCGTGCTCTAACTTTTGAGGGTTTTTCTAACAGCATCTTAAAAGCCCGAGACACTACAGACAAGCTCTCCACCGCCCCTCTTATTACCTTCGTGTGTCAATGTTGATGAAACTAAAATATTACAGTGATTGTGGTGAATAATGAGGAGACGGAGCTGAATGTGTGTCTGTTTATTAGGAGGAATAAGTGTTTGGGAAATGAAACTGAAACTGGAGAGCGGCGATGCTCTGATAAACAGCAGGAGGCGCTGTCACAATATTCTTAACTCTCAGTTTTTCGCGCTTTAGTTTTGTTTGACCTTTTTTGTAGCTAAATCAGTAAGGGTAGCTAGTTAGCTGCTTGGCTAACTAGCTTGATTACTGTGCAAGTATGGTCAGTTTCTAGGTAACAGACAGGACAGTTGATTGTCGACTTCGATCGAGTAAGTTAAGATTTCTTAACTTGCGATAAGATAAGATGCTGTAGATAAGATTCCCAAATCAAAATAAGATTTGCTTCTGTAATAAAACTTTGTGAAAAATCTTATCTTGACCTGTCAGATCTTAAGCTAAGACAAAAAGATAAAAAAGATAGAAAAAGCTGGCACTCCCAAACACAGTGTAACCTAAACTGCTCCAGCATTCATATATCCTGTAAACATTAATTTCACACCATATCTGAAAAAAAAAACTAATTTCTCTTGACCTTTTGAAATCAAGAGTCTGATGTAGTGTGTAAACATTGTTTTTTTTTTAAAAGCATACTCTTCACTCTATAGTTCATATATGGAAACTAAGCAACAAAATCAGCCCGTTTTTAAACAAAATCTGCCTATTCAATCTACAGTGGTTTAGATACATCAGTTGCATAAACAGTCCCAAAAGGCATAGTAATAAAACTAACTTGTTTAATTTGAAGAGATAAAGAGAGGTTGGAAATGGCCATGTAAAATCAATATTAACCTTTTTTTCATAAAATCACACAAATGATATAGAAGTGGACCTCAAAGGAAAATAAATAAGTACAAAAACAATGTAGGGTATGGGTCTTTCTAGGTGTGCCATTAGCTCATTCTGAGCAAAGGAAGGTAGAAACTAGCTCTGTTTGCTTAGTTACATCATATACTTAAGCACAATTTAGATGGATTTGGACTTTTCTGAATATTTTTTTTAAATTAGAATTTTTTCCTCAATTCCGTTTTACTGCATATTCAGTTCCGAATTCTTCCTAATTCTTTTTTTTAATTCTTTTTTGTTGAATTATTCATTGTTCTGTTGCTTCTCCACCTGGACTGCTTTGCTGTTGCTCAGATTTCTTGTATTTGAGCTTTAGCATTTTATTTTGCACCAAACATCCCAAAATAGAAGAATAGCTCATCAAACTTCAGTTTTTTATGCTGATAGATGCCAGATACATTCAGAAGTTCCATTGAAGCAGCATTTAGCTTTTATGCTGCATAATTGGAAACAGCTCTCTGATGGTCCTAGGTCTGTTAAAACAGTAGTGATTTTTAAATTCAGGTTAAAAACATTTTTATTACTGTGTACCTATAACTAAGCTGAGACTTGAACTTTATTCTTACTGCACTTTTGGCATTACACCTTTAATCTTTTTTTCTATTTTGCTTTATTTTTCTTCATTTTCACAAAGAAGATATGATTCTAAAATCATCCTATCTATATAAGAGACTAAAAATCCTAAAGAAATAAATAAAAGAAGACAAAAACATAGTGTCATAGAAAAAATGGAATTGCTGCAAGAGTGCTGAGATTTGACATATTTATTTATATTTGTAGGAAATATATTTTCCAGATGCCAGCATCCCTGAGAAAGAAACAGGACCGCAAAGTCTCTGCAGAGACAAAAGGGGACCTGAAGCCTGTCCAGAAGAAAGGAGAGGAAAAGAAAATCCTCGTCCGAGCAAAGCCTGCCATGTCAGGGGCCTTTCTCAAAACTCCAAGCCACAATCCTGCTCCTGCCAATATGTGTCAGGGGCTCCGTGACCTGGGCCCTGTCTCAACAAGAGCGTGATGCAGGGAGGTTTGATAGAGCTTGTTAGTAACCAGCGGCCTCCTTTTGATTTTTATTTACAGTTCAGCCCTTTTTTTGTGTTTTAGCAGTTAAACAAACAGGTGGTTTGGATTTTTGTTGAGGTTCATTGGTAGATTGCTGGGGAAAGCTCCTAATAAAGATACAATTCTTTAATTTCAGTAGAACTAAGCAACATACATGAGTGTATATATATAAAATAATAAAACAGGGGTTTCAGAAGTGAAAACAAGTCAACAAAACTAATGAAGTAATTTTCATGTAATAAGAAAGACCATGAAATTTATCAGTTCAATTTGCCCCACGTGTCAGCTTGGACTGAAAGGTTGGACAGAAAATGCAACTAAATACTTGCCCACCCTCTTCTTCGCCAAGAAACCGCAGGTGATCAGCAACCAGTAGTGGCACTGTGGCCCGTAGCCCTACAACATAAAATATCACTTTGTTAACTAATGGGGCTATCTGCCACAGTAGCCGTGCTCTGTTCTGAATGGCTCTGTAGATGTTGAGAGACATTTTGAAATGATTTGTCCACAGAGCTTCTCCTGCAGGGTCTTGCCCCATTCGCCAGTCTCTACCCTGTCCCTTATGCGGTCATCTCGAAGCACCCTCTGCGATGTGTCTGCATGTCCCGCACTCGTCGGATAGACTGGATCTCAGGGTGGTTGGCACCCCACTCATTCCAGTGCTTATAAGAGCCAAACTCGAACAGGTATTGGTATCCACGATAGCCAGGGTATTGGTACCCAACCCACCTACATGGAACAACAATATGGTAGTGCAGTTGTGAAAGTAATCATGTTTTTATAGCTTAGTCGTCAGAGTGGTAATGCAGATTTACATAATAGGTGACCTACGTTCCTCCAGTGACTTGAATACTAGCTACTCTGTCCTGGAAGCCATAAGACCACAGACTGGGGATGTCTTCATCACAGACCTCCATCTTACGGCCTTCAAAGTTCATACACTCGTACAGGCAAATCTTATGATCTTGTGGGTCCTACAGGGAGAAAGATACAGACCATTTTTAACCCCTTAACCCTAAGGGCCTGTATGCAAGAACACACTTCATTACCTCACTCCAATGTACATATTCATTGCATAATATTTATAGTAAATATTGAATTATAAATCTAGAATAGTAAGCCTGCAGTTTAAGGGATTAAATTTGTCAACCAGTCTTCAAACACTGTTAAGTGCATTGTTTTTCAAAAGAAAAAAAAGCTTAATTTCAGTTGTTCCAGGGCATATATACAAATTCTCGAAAGACCTGTCCATGCTTCTCCCACCAAAGTATTTTTCAGTAGCAAGTGTTGCAAGATTGCGCAAGGTTTACAGAACACTGGGAATGATATCATTCAATCCCTACATTACATTGAGTTTCCAGCTGAGCTATGTTGTTGTAGCTAATCATAATGGTAATGGTTGGAAACATCAACACATTTGCCATCATGTTAATGTTAGCCTAATTACACAACAAAAAATCTACATCCAGTTTGTCCTAAAATATATTTCACACACTACAGTTTTTCATTAGGTTCAACAGGATTTTTGCCAGCATTCTTTGAAGCTGAGCTTTAAAGCAGTCACTACAAAAGAAGGCATTTGTGGGTGGAGCACAAATAAGTGCGTTAACTGTGGTGGTTCATTGAATCATAGCACTAATGCCGTCTCTATGATACAGTGCTGACAGACTGCTTATTCTCTTTCACCTACCATGCGGACCGGCCTGACGGACATGAAGCGATCACAGCGGTAGCTGTTTGACCACGTGTCCCAGCGGGGGTACTCTCCCCTCTCCAAAATGAACATCTCACCACACATGTTCTGCTGTTCGTAACCCACCCAGCTGAAAACAAACCAAAAATACAGAGCATGTTTACCCAAAAGAATTCAACTTGTTAAGTTTCTGTTTGGTCTACAACCTAGTATTTATATAATATTCTGCATATAGTTGGTTTTATATTACTTGCTGAACACCTACGGGCCACACTCCACTATGATGGAGCGGACGCGGTCGAGGCCCTTCTCACAGATGTTGCGACACTCCCCGCTTAACTCCATCATGCGGCCTTGGAAATTCTCGCACTCGTACAGATATATCTGCTCAGATATACACAGAACAGTGATCAGAATTTACATGTATTATCTGACAGACAATGCACATGTTTTGGTGTTCATACCAGCAATCCAATGGTAATGGGGTTTGAAATGAAAACAGTAATCACCATTACAGGATAGTGTTGACCTACTTTGTGGGTGCGCATCCCCATGGCAGAATGGCTGCCAATACTACCCTGCACAGCGGTATGAGACATAGCTGAGGCTGTATTCACAGACAAAGAGAGAGAGAGAGTCTGAAAATCAAAGCTCTGTGACTATGCCATTACTGCACCATGACACAAAAAGGGGAAATTCTCTTTAGGTAAGACTTCACTGTAGTATCTCCAGTTCTATTTTGCTTAACCCTATACACCCTAAGCACCCATATATAAGCCCATACTGCAGTATCTTACTGTCATAACTGTATAACTTACATACTAGTTTCATAAAAGTTACTGAATAATTGTCTTTAATATCCAAATACTGAATGATATATCCCAAGATTAATAAGTGGATAATAAGACTAATGTTCAAGGGGTCAAAACTTTGCCTGGTGTTCATTTCAAGCAGTTCAAGCCTCAACCAAGCTTAATTGCAATGTAAAATCTTACAGCTGGTAAGCAGCTTAAAAATAATTGCCTACAATTTAATCACTAAAAATCTTTTCCTCTCAATTTATCAATTTTGTACTGTCTTGACTAAAACACCACATTGCTATATAATCTACTAATAGCATTCTATTCAAAATGGACAGCACTGTAAAGAGAATATAGTGGGAGTTTCTAAATTTAGCAAAGGAGGGCCATCCTCTTTGTGCTTAGGTATCCCTTTAATTTGGTCCCTTGCCCTCCCTCCAGAAATCCCCCCTCGGATCTCACCAAAATGCTGCAGTCAGGCACAGAGCAATGGAATGTAAGAGGAGTGCTGGCAGAGGAAAAGATGGCAAGGCCCAAATGAAGTGCTGGTCCAGCCTTTGCAAGGGTTCTATATATACATATATATCCCAGGCATGCTATTAGGCCAGCATGCCGCCATGCCATTGGATAAAAGTGATGGGGTTTGGGGAGGGCGTGGAGAGAGAGCTTATCTCTGTGGCCTTGCTGACTCTGCTCGTCGCTTTGTTCCACGACTCTGCTGGACACCCACCTCCATCAGCAGAAAGCCTCTCTCCCTCCCACCATTCCTCTCTCTCCCTCTCTTTCTCTGTAGCACTGATAGCAATGTGCTGACCTCAGTAGGCTAGTCTCAGCCCTCCGCTGGGCTCAGTAACATGCATTAGCGCTGTTGTGTGCACTGGTGGACTTGAATATACCTGTAACCGCCCACTGTGGTTTGTTTGATTGCTTTATTTTTGTGACCCTGAATAAAAAAAAAACCTAGGAAAGTCAAACCAGAGCAGTGGGAAACTAGTTATTGGATTTGGCAAAAAATAGCTTAAGTCACTTCACTTCCATATTACTTCCATATTACTTTGTGCCAAAATATATTTGTCACTGAAAGTTATGCCATTTGTCAATAAAGAATATCTAAAATACAGATGACACCCCAAAGTTCATTAAAATGTTCAAATGAATCTCCTTTGGATTAAAAAAGGTTTATTTGCATCCCCAGAAGACACATTCCTCACTTTTCTTTCACTGATCAGACTCCTCCTCATGTTCCACCTAGCCCCGGCTAGCAGCCTGCTTTGCATAAAGTCAAAGGAGTGGGCAGGACATGGATGTTGAATAGCTGCACACGTAGAGGCCTATGTGTGTGTGTGCATGCATGTGTGCATGTGTGTGGGTATGTAAGGGCCGGCGGTCAGTTGAGGCACTAGTTGTCCATGGAGTTAGACAGCAGTGAGCACCGGTCCTCCACAGACTCAGGGGCTGTTAATAACTAATTGTTTTTGTGCATGTTGTAAATTATTCTATGTCAACTTTATTTGTGTAGAAAAGTTTGTCTAGAAACCATTCTTAGGTGAGGTCAACTTAAACAGCTCTGAAGGTGACAACTCTGGCTGTTGCTAGCTTGTTAGCGTCACCCCCTCTGTGTGTCTCTTGCCTGACGAACCTGTCATGTGTAAAAGTATGTATGGAAGCCGTTGGCCTGGCATGCAGCCTGGTGCCAGTGAGCAGTGGGCACAGTGCCCTCCTGGCAATTGGTATTGTGGGCCGGGTAAAGCCAGTGGCTCAGGCACAAACAATGAGGCCTGGAGCAAAGTGCTGACTGCTGCCCAGCCTGTGGCCTAGCTCCCCATTCACCCAAGCCATGTATAAATAGAGCTCTCAGCAAGAGGTCAGGAGACCGTTGTGTGGAGCCCCCCGAACGCACACAGCTATTTGTTGGGTAGGTCAGGTAAGCCCTGCATCTCCGTCCTTTCAGCCGCTGGGCTCATTTTCCATTTAGCACTTTTTGCTGATCTGCAAAAATCTACACAACACAGCTCACCACTAAAAAAAAGGCCCAAAACAAACAAAAGGGCTAGCATGCAAGCATATTTGAAAGACTTGCATAGACACTTTAACCACACTCAGATCATAGCAACTGCATGCACTTAAATTACTCAAATTCTTATTAGCAAAACTCATGTTGAGTGTCAGGCACATCAGTATCATTTTCACTAATTTAACATCCGCACAAGAAAATGCAGTCTGATTTTTTCTCTTCCAAGTTTAACTGAAGTTATATATCTAATTGACCAATATATTCAATGTTTTGATCTGATGTGCATAATAAGCATTGGACCTGTGTAGACAGAAAGCTGTTGTATGTTCAGTGCTGTTCTAACTGCTGAACATTGTTTTGAGCCATCAGACTGAGAAGCAATGTCACTTATGAAATCTAGACTGTTAGAGGAAAGTTGATAAGGTTTAAGACATTTGGCAACTGCTCTCTGCTTTTTGTGCTTTAAGCCTTTTGGAACATTTAGATTTTTAATCTTTATACATATCTAACACTGAAGTGTGTGTGTGTGTTCTTCAGGTCAAGCAGAATTGAGATATTTGCAAGAATGGCTCTGACTAATCCCATGCCAATGGGACCATGGAAGGTGAGTGGGTAGTGATAATGAAGGCTCTTAAAGGTCAACAGACAGATTGCAGTAGAAACAGGCTGCGATGACCATGACACATTTCATTAAGCACTGGTGGTGTGTCCATGCTTAGATTACAGTATATGACCAGGAGAACTTCCAGGGAAAACGTGTGGAGTTCACCTCATCCTGCCAGAACATCATGGAGTGCGGAATGGACAACGTTCGCTCCCTGAAGGTGGAGTGCGGAGCGTAAGTCATGCCTACACATACATTATGCATATGGTCACATTAGAGCTGAACTATATGTGGTTTGTTTATTGTAATTACAATATTAGCTGTAGAAATAATAATATTTAACAAGAATGCATAGTTCAAACAGGTCCGCAACCAATCACATTTTTAGCGTGATCATTTTGTTCAGCATCTTGATCAATGTACACGTTACAGATGAGTGTTCAGTGGATATTTGACTGGATCGAGGCATGATCCAGTGTGAATTATTAGTGCGCAGCGTGAACCAGTGAGAATAATCAATCTTCAACCATGTCATATCAAGAGTTCTCCTCCACATTTTTAAAGTATTACTACACTTTGCAGTCACAATATGTAGCAATATAATGACAATAGAGTATTTTCTCCAGGCCCTACTAACAGAAATATCTGCTTTTTCTCGTGTTGCATTATGCGGAGGTTCTTTAAAATTAGAAAGGCTCTTCACACATGCACATCTCTTTTACCAAAGTGGTTCTTCGGAACTCACAATGAAAGGGTCTTTAGGGAAAAAAAAACATCTTTTAGGCACCTTTATTTTGCTGAAGGATAGTGCCTGCTAACCTCATGTGTGTTTGGGCAGCTGGGTAGGTTATGAGCACTCCAGCTACTGTGGGCAGCAGTTCATCCTGGAGAGAGGAGACTATCCCCGCTGGGAGTCGTGGAGTGGCAGCAATGCTTACCACATCGAGAGGCTGATGTCCTTCCGCCCAGTCTGCTGTGCTGTGAGTGTGCCTTTCTATTACACACCACAATAAACAGCTGAATTATCACAGCCAGCATACTTAGTTGGACAGCTTTTCAGACTAGTTTTGATTAAAGTAGAGCCTAAACTAAAAAGAATTTCCAGTGGTTAATTACTATTGGCATTGCAACTCAATCAAAAACTAGGTTTCATCCATGTCTGGAAAACCAGCCCACAGGTGGCTGATATGAGTCTATGCTGATATGTGCAGAACCATAAGGAGTCCAAGATTGTTGTATATGAGCGGGAGAATTTCATCGGGCATCAGTGGGAAATGGCCGATGACTACCCCTCTCTTCAGGCCATGGGCTGGCCCAACAATGAGATTGGATCCATGCAGGTTCAAAGTGGAGCGTGAGTACCATGGAACTCCTTGCTTTTGGTAGTTTATTCTTCACATGCATCCTCAATCACAAATAAACCACCTGGAATTGTAATGTAAAATAATACAAATGACAAAACTGTTTCACTCAGTGGGTTTTGGTCATAGATTAACACCTTAAAATCAAGACTTATTATCAAAGTAAGTACTATAAATTGCTCAGTAACTAATCTGAAACAAACTTAACCACTCCAACTCTAGCCTTATTATTCTGTTATTAAATAAATGATTTACACATTTACATAATTCCCCCCCCTTATAGCAGTTTGACCCAGGCCTGTTCAGTTTCTAAAGTTTGCTTATTTAGTTTTATTATAGAGCCTATTATAGCTAAAAAAAAAAAGTGAAGGTCTAAAATGTTTTTTCATTGATATAGATGTTCGTTGTATTTGGGGTCTTGTAGCTCCATTAGAAAAATGAAGAAGCAAACTTCAGACACCAAACATGTCTTGGCTGCTTAGTCAAGTTTGGGGTTAAAATTCTGTAAATTAGATTTTTTTTGCCAAGCAGTTCCTTTAATCCTAAGACTTATTATTCAGTAACAATTAAGTACTATAAAATCTATATGGATGCTATGTAGTTATGAAAGTGAGGAACTAAAGTGCGGGGTCACATACAGGCCCTGAGGGTTTAGAGCAGTGGTCACTGACCCTGGTCCTGATCCAGCTAATGAACTTCTTCTTGATTGGCTGGATCAGATGCATTAGTGTGTTATCACAGTTACATGATGTTTAGAACTAAACTCTGCGGGAAAGTAGATCTTCAGGAGGACGGTTGGTTACCACTGGTTTAGAGAATTAATCAGTTCTTAAGAAACCAGCCCAGTATAACTTGATGATGAGTGAGTAGACCAGGCTGTGACCTCATGTCTGCTATTCTTGCCCCTCTCATGTAGCTGGGTCTGCTACCAGTACCCTGGCTACCGTGGATACCAGTACATCCTGGAGTGTGACCGCCATGGTGGAGAGTACAAACACTACAGGGAATGGGGCTCCCACGCTCAGACCTTCCAGGTGCAGTCCCTCCGCCGAGTGCAGCAGTGAGGGCCTCTCCTCCTTCTCCCTTCCTCCCTCCCCCACCCCCAACTCCTCCTCCTCGTCCTCCTCCATCTCCTCACCTTCACCCATCCACTCCAACTGTGGCCAGCCCAGTTAGACTCCTCATGGCACAGGCTGAAGATCTGGTGCTACACAACAAATGTTTACAGCACTTTTCTCTCCTCGTTCCCCAAAGCAAAAGAAAGGAGGGAGTGAGAGAGCCCCCAGCAGTCAGGGGCTGTGAACGGGGCAGTGATGTAACTCAGGCTTTGCTCCTTATCATTGTCACCGTGCAATCTGTGCAAAAAGTGATTAATAAAGGGTACCTACATAAAATTGTTCTGCTGTGTGAGAGTGCATGGAATGGTTTCTTCTTCCTTCAAAAGCTATGAACCAAAAAATGAGCAGACAAATCAGATGTTTGTGACTTATCTTGCATAGGACAGTTTTAGAAAATGAGTCATAAACACAAAAATGTGTCTTTATCAACTTGTGAATAAGTTTGGATAAAAAAAGCATAAATAAATTTGAATGAGGGTGGATTGTATCTTGTCATGGAATGTTAATTTGACTCATTTGGGAAAGCAAGTTTGAAGCACTGTCTCAGCACAACAGTGTTGTTTGAGAAATCCATTTCTAGCCAATGATAGGGTTTTTAATTCATTCAGTTGCATTAGTGAAAACCTTTTTACCTTGCTGTGTAGTCTATAAACACTGTTAAAGTTTCAAACTTGTTGTTAACATAATAAATCTCATCTAATCCAATCTAAACTAACCTAAGCAGCAAAAACAGCCCATTTGCAACTCATTTTGTGTCATAACAAAGCAACTTCTTTTACATATATCCTCTGGAGGTGCACATATCATACATTTTTATTGGCTGATTCTGATTCTAATTTCTTTACAGCAAATGATTTTTTGGCCCAAATTTTTTACTTTTTTTTAGCCTGAAGCTCTCACTGTGTAGGCTAAATGAACACATGAAACTCACTAGCATGTTACCGGTATTTTCTAACGATGAGCTAAACTGGCATTTTAAATGCGTGAAGGAAAAACAGTCGCCTATTTTAATAACATTAATCAAACAAAGTTCTCCATAAAAAGTTAAAAGCAACTGGCTGTTTAGTCATACATATATACTATTATATTTTGCCTCCAGCAGATTAGCCCCGCCCATTCAGACGGAAGCCTTAAGGAGTCTGGACTACCTTTTGAATGAGGCAGCCAATCAGATCAGAGAATATTTACATATATCAGTATTAAAAGGCAGGATAACAGAAACATCCTGTTTAAAGACAGAGTCACAAAATGATCTATAAAAAGGAATTATGGCTGTTTTAGCACACAAACCCTTACAAATTTGACAATAAAATACAAGACAAACGTGGGAGAAAAAGTTGTAACTGCGACAAGAAGCGCAATGGCGACACCGTGTGGCGGATCTGTTGTACTGCAACAAGCTTGTGAAAAAGAAACCCGGAAGTGGGTGTTTGACGTAATGAAAAACAAAGAAGGGCATGCTGGTTGACGTAGCCGTTAGCTTTAACTTCATAAACTTATTTTTCCTTGACCTGCCCAGAAGGAGGTGAGAAAGTAACGTTATGGAAACATGTCTGCTCTGCTGACGATCTTAGTGAGCGCTCTCGCAGCTTATGTCCTGATTTACTACAACGTGTTCAGAGGATCCAGGTGCAGAAGCAGAGCCACACTGAAGGGGAGGACAGCAGTTGTCACCGGTTAGTTGAAACTCAAACTGAATGCAAGCTCGGTAGCAGGTTGAATGTGTGCGACTGGTTCTACAGTACCAGCCGTTCAAGTGGATTTGATATTATGGCAGTGTTTGTTTTCTTAAAGGGGAATTTCACCATTTTTCCACCAAGTTTGTGAACAATTCTGTCTCAGAGATGTAATCAAAGTCATTCAGAATGGTCTGGTATGAAATAGTTCATTGTGGAGAGATTTTATTTACAGTAGTGATGATAGGGACCAGCCAGGGTTGTCTACAACACAAATATAGCTGCTCTCTTTACTGTCCAAAACAACCAGTGAACCTGCACACGTCTTCTGAGTTTTTGTATGTGATGCTGATGATAGTAAAATAGTCATAAATCTGAAAAATTAAGTTTTCTTTGGGGATTATTTTGCCTCACAATACCCTGCATGTACTTCTCCGCCATAAATGGATTAAAATAAATGGATTAAAATACATTTTAAGCCAAAACCTTATACAAAACTATCATGAACAATGTCTCAGTGTTCATAACCATTCATGTAATAAGTTTTTGTCAGGGAGCTTTTAGAGTGGATATCTGGTTCCTATTACCACCACTGTGAACAATTCTGTCTCTGCAAGTTTCTCTTCAATGACATATTTCACATCAAAACACTCTGAATGACTCTGTCTACATCTTAACCACTTAATTATTTAGAATTTTGGAAAATTATTGGAGTTCCCCTTTAAGTGAAAGCTCAGCGGGTACACTGGGTCACTTCATCTTAAATGGTGCAGCAGTTGCATTTGGAATATAACTACTGTACTCACTAACTGAAGGTGGCGCATATAGTGTTAATAAGAAGCGAACCTCAGTTTTGTAGTGAGGTAGCAGTCTCTTAAATGTTATTTTGCCCAGGGAGCAACACCGGCATTGGGAAGGCAACAGCTCTGGATTTGGCCAAGCGAGGAGCCAGAGTTATTCTCGCCTGCCGAAACCGGGAGAAAGCAGAGGCAGCTGTCTATGACATTAGGAGGGTACGGTCATGTTTTTGTCTTACTTTCTGCAAATTAATTTGTTACTTTAGTGGAGTACCCACTGTTCATTAATTAAGCTGCGTCTCATAGGAAAGCGGGAACACGGCAGTGCTGTTTATGCATCTGGACTTGGCGAGTCTGAAGTCTGTGCGCACTTTTGCTGAGACCTTTTTGAAGACTGAGCCCAGACTGGATCTACTCGTCAATAATGCAGGTGACTTTTAATTTGCCACTGAACATCTGGGTAGAGCTAAGCAAAGTACTTCAAAAACGTGCTCTTTATTAATGTACTCTTTAAAAAATGTAATTTTACTATATTGAAATAATTCCAATGAAAGTAAAAGTAACTGCAAAAAAACAACTTGAGTCAAAAAGTATTTGTTAAAAAACTGCTGAAGTACTGAGTTCCTGATAGACCTGCAGTGGAACCAATTTGTACATCCAGCATCTATCGGCATAGGAACTGAAGTTTTTTAGTTGCTGATCTTAAAGTTTTGGTCTAATAAAATGCTTAAGATAAGCTTTAAATAGAATATTTAGGAAATTTAAACAGAACAATGAAATTTAACCCAAGAAAGTAATTGGGAACCAACTGTGAATTACTAAAATGAAACTGAATAAAAATTCCATTTTAAAAACCTCACAAATTAACTTAAGTATAAGTAAGAAAAGTTTGAAAAATGCACAGAAATCTAGCACAGTTTGATTTAAGCACACGTGCATGGTGCGTATTAAGGAGTGGAAAGCAGACAGTAGAATTGGGATAGCATTGGGCTGAGGACTCTTAAAAGGAAGTCTAATTCTCTTGGGCTGTGTAGTTCACACCTCTTTCCTTTGGAGACCCCTAAACTATTTTGTGCTCTGCTGTAGGCGTGATGGGACCAGGCAGGACTGAGGACGGCTTTGGCCTGGCGTTTGGGGTCAACCACCTGGGCCACTTCTTGTTAACCCTGCTGCTGCTGGACCGGCTGAAGGCATCAGGGCACAGTCGAATCATCAACGTGTCAGCCCTGCTGCACCGCCTAGGCTCAGTGGACTTCAACACTCTCAACACGCACAAAGCCCTGGTGACAGGACAGTCCTCTTGGCACTGCTTCAGGGCCTACTGCCACAGCAAGCTCTGCAATGTGCTCTTCACCCGGGAGCTCGCCAACCATCTAGAGGGGACAAGTGTCACCTGCTATAGCCTGCATCCTGGTTAGTGAGCCTTAAGTTTCTTACATGTTTGATTTCATCATACTCCCAGACTGGTATCATATGTCATAGTTGTCCGCACCATATATTCATAATAAGAACAACTGCTACTCCATCCTTGTCTGCTGAATGATAACATGTTTAAAATCCTACAGCATAATCTATTAGCTTTGTATTATATTTTAAATACTTCTGGTGGTATTTGCCTGTGTTTTAATGAATAATCTATACACATATTTTATAAGTGTACATTGCTAATGTTTTTAGGTCTACGTTGCTAACAAATTTTATCCAATACTAAGAAAAAACTTAATTTAAAAAAAATGTGGCATTCCACAGGTTACATGATTTGGTTGTATTGTACATATTAGCTAAATATTTGGTCATTTGGAAAAAAAATAGTCTGGTTAATCTGGTACAGTTTTATAAATTGACTCTGATTTGTTAGTCCTGTGCAACTTCACAGGTTTCATATAATTAGTAAAGCACTGTAAGAAGCTGGAAATAAAAATGAAGAAATAGTTAGATGTATCTGTGTAATATAACATAGCCTTATTCACTACGTGAAGCTGTATTCTGTCTCTATTTCACTTTTGTATCAGGAGTGATTGCTACTGATCTTGTACGTAATATGAGCCTGTGGCTGTGGCTGCTGATGCTGCCCTTCTCCAAGCTCTTCTTCCTTGACTCAGAGGGGGGCGCTCAAACCACACTGCACTGCGCGCTTCAGGATGGTCTGGAGCCTCTGAGTGGACGTTACTTCTCCTCCTGTGGCCTGCAGGAGGTCAGCGCAGCTGGACGTGATGATGCTTTGGCCAGGAAGCTGTGGGAAGTGAGTGAGAGGCTGTGTGGCCTGTCATGAAAGTGAGGTATGAGGGGCATAGAAGACCTTCACTAAAGGAAGTGACTCCAGATGCCTTTTGAAGGAGAGACAAATGGCTGATTACTAGGAGTTTTTTAATGACTGCTGGATGCTTAGTGCCATAACATTTTTAATAATTTGTCTGTCTGATGAACTACTAAGGGTTACACAAAGAGATTTTCCACCATTGCTATTTTCCGTTCTCTTATATGTTAAGCTGTTATAATAACTATACAGTTCCAGAAGTTCATTATGTTTGTGATTTATTCAGTAGAATTGTATTTAATATTAATTAAATCATTAATTATTGTTTCAAATTATGTAAAGAGTGTTACAGAGAGAAGGTGATTACTCATAAGTTCATTCATTCATGTTGTCTTACAGTTTAATGTGAAATGTTTCATGCCGTTCTCTTCGACTGGCTGGCTCTTTTTTTGGAATTTCTTGCATAGTAATTGAACTTGAACATGTTACCTTGTGTTTCAAATAAATCCTGATCAGAACTGATGATATTACAAGAGCTACCTACAACTTTCTCAGCTTCTGCTTTCATGTAGGTAAAGTGTTACTTGAAAAGATGTTGGGAAAACTGCTATGCAAAAACGTCTGTTCATGGATTTTTACCATAGTTCAGACTGCTAACAGATGTTCTTCAGCAGAACCAGTGGTTTGGCTTTTGTACCTGGTTGGTTTTGTTCACTGGGTGGCAGTAGCGTGCCACTGAAAATGGTCCTGTGCCCAGCATGGCTTGTGCTTGTCAGGACAAGAGCCAGGGCGACATAACCTTAACTAAAGAGACTTCTGTCAAGATGACAGGCAGTAGGATACAGTGCTTCCAAGCTTTCTAGAACATGGAGAATTTGAAGTCTTTTCGTGTAATTTCAGAATGCCAGTGGAAATGAAACAGCATTGTGTGACGCAGTGCTAATCAGGTGGCATCAAGTTTCTGCAGCTTCACTTGCCTACCATTGACAGCTGCCTCATCATGTGTTGGTTGGCGAAGTCTTACCAAAAATCAATATAGTTACGTGAGATTTGCTTTGCTGGTGTGTTTTGTCTGTTCTTTCTGTGTTTAGGGTGCTGTAGGTATTGTTTGGTAACTATGGGAGCTGAGGCTCAAGGCTGTCACAGTGCACAGTGCATAAGCTCTCTCGCTTGCACGTACAAGGCTATTGACTCACATGGTAAGGCTGATGTTGTGTTCACCTTTTATGTGCATTCTTCTGGACCCTTTTTATAGGGTCCTGTTGCAAACACAGACTGTAAGAGAAGACTGAAGAGGATCACTATGGTGGGCAGGCAGAGACAACCCTTGAGAAGCTCCATGAATGACAGAATGTAGCCAGCAAAGCATGAGCTTCAGGTAAAGAGCAAATAAACAAGGGTTGCAATGATATGGGAATTGGAGGCCAATGCCAATATGTATATTATGAAAACACATGAAATTAGGACCACATCTACTTGGATTACTATTACAAAGAAATATAAAACTTATTTCTATATATTTTAGTGCACTAGCCCAGCACTGTCTACTGGAGTCCAATAAATATATCGTCCAGTATCGGTTTGAAATCTTGGTCAAATCTGCAGGTAATTTTTAAAGTGATTTGATGATATTATTGTGCATCCTTAAAATAAGCACTAATCATGGTCATTTTGGTTCTAGTTGCCTGTTGCATTCAATAAAAAAAACAAATAGCTCACAAAAATCGCTCCTAAAATGGCCATTGGCTGATTCAGCTGTAAAGAAATCAGAACTGTAATAGGTCATAAAAATTCATAATCTGCATCCCCCAGTGTTCAGTCTCTAAGCTGGCTGTCCCTTGGCATCCTCTGTCTCTCTCTCTCATGCACTGTAAGTCTGTAACTATGCCGTCCTGTTCGATTGGATCTCTAGAGGCGACACATCGATGAGCGACGCCAGGTGTTTGCTTTGGACGCACTCCCGAGCTTCTGGGCACAGTACTTAACCACTGGATTAGTGCATCAATTAGCAATCACTGCATGGGAGGGCCCTGATTGATTGAGACTGCTGATACTTTGCTGAGTGTGAGGCATGCTGGAGCTTGTGTTTGTGTAAAGCGACCAAGTGTGTGTGAGAGTGTTCACGTTGCTATATTTGTTTAAATGTAATAGAGCCAATAATATATCGGTGTGTGATTGAAATTCTTATGTTTCTGTGACATGGATAAAAAACCTCCAGACTAAAACCTTGTATCTCCAAAACGGTAACTTTACAGGACAAGGAAAAAAAAAATTCTTAACCTAAGGGTTGTTTCAACAGCAACCGTGTCTAACCTTCCAAGTGTACACATATGCATACTGAGCTTCTGCCATGTCTTTGAACATATGTAATATGACTGAATGATTGAGAGGCATAAAGTTTTAAAACTGTGCCTAAATAAGAACACTGATGTTCATGCTGGTCTTGATTGTGTTAGTAAGTTTAATCGTAGGTCATTGTTTCTTAGCTTCTGTCTGAGCGATTGTGTTTAAAAAATAGTTCTGCCTAAGAAAAAAATCAGTTTTCGAATTTATTACAGATATCAATCAGCCGAAACATCTTAGTGTCTGAAGTTAGCTTCTTTAGTTTTGCACTGGAGTTATGGGGCTAATGTTGCTAAAAATTATTAGAAGCTTGTAACCGCCTTTTAACATTGTACAAGCAACATGCCAAAATCATCACAGTTGCCTTAAACCATGTTGAGTTGTTAAATAATCCCAGACAGACTTGCTTATGTTGTTTCTAACACTTTGTAATATACTGTTCCCTATAAACATTGAGGAAAATATGTCCTGTAGATTAAAACAGTAGGAGCAGCCAACTGAAAGCCTGAATTTTTCGGTCCTTTTTTTACTGAAGTTATTTTTGTAGATAAGTAAAAATTTGAACATCAAACACATATTAAGTGTTCCACTACTATTTGTGGTAATGGGAACTTTGTGTAAATTTGATGTTTTCTTGAACTGTTCCTTTAATTTGGGTAGCTGGGTGAGTGAGTGAGTGAGTGAGTAGTGCAGTATTGCAGTGTGTGTGTAGCAGGTGGTGTGTGTAGCCAGTGCAGGCGGGCCTCAGTCTGTAGGGACAGACAAAGTGATGGTGGGTCTCACATTGGAGTAACACTGTAGGCGTGAGGTAGAGTAGTGGGTGGGGCTGCTGATTGCGTATGTGTGTGTGTTATGGTGATGGGGGTGATGACAATTTGGAGACGTATTCACATCCAGCCTCCCGGTGCCTCCTTTACCAAAGCTCTTTTTTTCCCCTTCTCATCGCGCTCCTCCCGGAAATGCCGTTTGAAGTCAGTAAATAGAAGCATCCTTTGGGTCATGTTATTTCCACAGGTGCAATTAACATCCCCATCTGCTAATCTGTGATTAACGATGTTTACAAATATGCTAGCATGTGCCGAAGAGCGGCTCACACCTTTCTTTCTTTCCATCCCAGCTCTCATCTCTTTCTCTCTCCCTGGTGCGAATGGCCAGCAAACCCAGGGAGATTTCTCCATTGTCCTGATGTTAATTGGGGAAAAAAAAGCTCAAGTTGCTGAACTCATTATTAGAGTGGGGGTAGGGGAGGGGTGCTGACAAAAGCTTCTAGCCAAAGGGGCAGACGACGTTTAGCTTCCGAATGGCGCGAAGAGACTGACTGATTGATGATGTTGGCATGTTCCATCTTGGAGTGAAGCTGTAGTATGATATAAGGTATTGGCATTATAAAGGGCCATATAACCAGTGCTTGAATCATAAAAATGAAAACAAATAAATAAACGAAAAGCAAGGAGAATGGTGGGAGTAAATATTACTGGGGATAAAAACTGTATCTTATTATAATCACTTATTCTATAATAAGGATGGTCTAAAGAAAATAAGTGGGTAAAAAAAACAGAAAATTAGTTTTCCAAACTGAAGTTCAAAAAATGGTGGAACCTTGCAAGACCTAGTAGACCACCAAAACGGTCACCATCAGATAAACAGTACTTAAAGCTTTCATCTTTGAGAGAAAGGACTCCACTTTTGTTTCAGATCCGAAATAATCCCTGTGTTTCTGTCCATCCTTCCACCGTGAGAAGACAACTCAAAACAATGTGTAGCCGTCAAGATGATGTTGCTAAAAAAAAGGCAAAAAAAAAAATTCAGATCAAAAAAGAGGCTGCTGGTGTTCTCAGAACAATAGACTGACCACCCCAGAGTCCAGACCTCAACATCACTGTTTGGGATTACTTGGATTGAGAGAAGCAGAAAATGCAACCAAATTCTAAGACTGACCTTTAGAGGTGTGGAAAAATATTCCTGCAGATTTCCTTGAAAAACTGAGAAGCAAGCCTCCTAAAGAGCATGGAAGCTGTAATAAAGGCAAAGGCTGGACACAGTGAATACTGAAAGATTTGATAGTATATTTACTTGTTTAAGGGCAATTTTGTGTTAAATATGTGTAAAATATATGTGTTGTGCCTTTTTCCTGATGCTGAAAAACGAATAACTTAATGTTTTGACTGGTAGTAAAATAAGCAATGGGTGGTCTCTGACTAATGCACAGAACTAAAGAACAAATTGTAAGCTCTTTGTAATTCTACAGAGTACAGACAATGTGTTTTTTTTTTTTTACTTTTATAAGATTTAGATATTTGAATGCATACCCTTGCATCCATTTATAATAGATTAGAATCTCTTTCCCCAGTGATTACTGTCAGATACCGTATGTTTTTACCCTCCTTATTAGTTATAGATTAATTATTTATTGTTGTCTGTTGCCAAAACAGCTTAGAAAGTGCAGTTATACTGTAGAATCCAGTTCTACCTCTTCTTCCCCCACTGTTTTGAAGCATCAAGCAGTCATGTGGCTATGTGCAAATCTACCTGTCTTGTTAAACTTTGGTTATTATGTTCTGGCTTTAATTACCCTTCTCCTTTATTTATTTATTTTTTTCTGCTGCAAATGATGATGGATTCAGATGAACCAGTCTAGGTTGTTTCCACAAAAAAACAAAAAAAACAACAAAAAAAAACACAACTTTATAAACATACATTCAATCATACTATTTAGGTAAATGAGCCCATTTTGCAGTTTTAGCAATTTGCTGTAATTTCATGGGGAAGCGTAGCTTGCTGTGTGCTCAACAGAAAGCATACTGCTGGGATGGGTGGCACAGGAAAAGCTATCAATTAGACAGGAACTGCAGCATTTTGCAATTGTTTTACTAATTGCCAATTAGCTACCTTGGAATAAAGCACCGTCCTTTGTTGTATTTTAGAGATTTAGTGGGTAACCAGTCATTAACAGACGCTTTCAGGATATTTACAGAAACATTAACAGTGTCACAGGGGAGTGATTGTGTTTTCTCAAAAAGCGCAGCATCCCTAGAGGTGCTGGTTAAATCAGGGGAAGAGAATGCCGTATTATATCCGTCTGCTCCGAGGTACATTTCTGTTTGTATCCAAAGGAAGAAAAAGCTAAGGGTCAGTGTTTCTGCTGAATTACATGGAGCCACAAAAACTGATTTGAACTAATGCAAGACTGTTTGTC